CCCCAAAACCCCAAAACCCCAAAACCCCGAGTGAGGGGTATCAATAAGATCCGAGAGGATACTGAGAATTAAGTATTATTATAAAATTTGAGCATTTTATTAAAATATTGCTTAAGATGCAAATGGAAACATGCTGTGGTTGCTTTTAGACAACCAACCTCGCCAAAAGGAAAAAAGATAAAAACAAGAGTGACATCAAACCTCTTAAGTATAACAGTGGAGCATCTGAAAGCACCTATAACCCAATGAGCACCGTAAGCAATCATAAAAATCATCAAGAAAGAAAGTAATATAATTCTAAAGGCTTAAATATATCATAAAAGATCAGTGACAATTGGAGGAAATGTTTGGAAAAGCTAGTTCGATAACAAGGATCTATGTATCAAATATCTTTCTTCATTAAAAATTTTAGTTCGCGACCTAATTTCTCATGGAAATATGAGTCATACCCACAGAAATCTAGGGCATTCAATGAGTTAAGTTAGCCATGATGCCTCTGAAATCGGTCATTAATCATCTATGCATTAGTCAATGTCAATCGTCCATCAGAATAATACAAAAAATTCATAATATGCAGAATGCATTTCAAAATATTATATGTATCAATGCTAAAAGTGCACTAAAACATTTAAGAGTAAAATATTCTTTCCTTTTATCTTATTAAAGAAATTGTATCTACTGAATTGATCCATTCAGTCTTAAACCTGGAAGAGGCTCTCAACCTTCCAAGCAGTAATGAATTATTAACCCTTACATTTCAAATTAGATTGTAACTGTGAATGCCCATTTTGTGGAAACCCCCAGTGCAATTTACAGGACGTTTAGACGTTGATAGCTGGTTATATTAGTGGAGAAGATGAGTAAATCATTGAAGAAGATAATGAAGATGATGAATTCGACAAGAAATAGGATCTAAATGTACAAACATTAATCTAAATAATATAATTAGTTCAAAGTGGATTGTATCGAGACTAATAAGAGCTCGCTTCTCGATTTCAAAAATCAAAGAATTAGTAGGAATCTCTCATAGATAAGAAGTTAAGCCAGAGTAACTACAGATCATACATTTCATGATATGAGTGTTTGTAATAATATAAGCAGAGATGCTAGTCCATTGCCTCATTTTATGGATCCTATGGGACAGAATCTAAATACTGAAAACTCGGTAAAATTGCTGATACCTAACCTATTTTAGATTAAAAAGCATCCTGCATTCTTGTCTCAGTCTTAAGAGAGAAATCCCTCTCCCTCTCACTAAAATGAATCTCACTTTATTTCTCACATTAAATCTCTGTCAATGATTAATTACAGAAGTGTCAAGCCAATCTAAGCCTAACCAACTGTAACTGTGACCATAGTCAAAGATAATGAAGGATATTTCTAGTTTGAAAGCGAGGATACTTAAACTACAATACCAACTAATTCAACGATCAAAGGATTCAGCAAGAGCAATAGTCAAATTGCAGGTATCAGCACTTAAACAACGAAGAAATTAGACAGTAGAGTGTTGAGCAAACCAGATGAAGATTCTTGTAGAAGTTTCAATGCAGATCTAATGAGGTCACTCATAGCCAGAAAAATGCAAAAGAACAAAACTTTCTTTGAGGCTAAAGTCTAGCCACAAACAGTCAGCTATAATATAACTCCAGTTTCCCAAGGGCTTTAAATTAACTCAAATATGAATGTACACTATTAATAACAATATTCTCCATAGAATAGGATATAAGGCACTCCAAAGTAAAGATTCACTCCTCCCTATAGAGGATCGCAATAGATTGGCAATCAAACTCAGAGATATGTGAATCTAAACGCATAACAGTGATACGAAAAGTTTAACAATATTTAAATTAAATGATCATCTTAATCAATCAACATCCCTAATTATATGTTAAGAATTCTGTAATTTTCAAGTACCTAATTCTATTTAATACGGGGTTTTGGGGTTTTGGGGTTTTGGGG